ATGCTCCAGATAAATCCAGAGCTCCAATTCAATGCATGGGATAAGGACCTCTTTTTACTAGTAAACTTTTCAACTCTTGCAGCACTTCTCCAACATTTAGCTGTGCACATATTTGGCATTTAGAGGATGACGGATTTACACATTTGCTACTAAATGAGCTGCAAGAGCTAATCAGCTCCTGCAGAATTGCACACGTTAACGAGGAGGGCTCTTTCCTCTGCCTGCCTACGATGTAGACACCCGCTGAACTGGGACACCAGAGGCTAATTTGGAAGATCTTGTTCGCATAGAAGCTTTTTCCCCATGATGGATGTTTGCAGGGAAGCGCGTGGTGAGGACAGGGAGGGAGCAGGATCTGCAAAACGAATTGATCTCCAAAAGCGGATCCTTGTTAGTGCTGCAAGAGCAGCGGGAAGGATTGCTTATTAATGGCCCCAAACTAATGGGGATGATTAGCACTCTGATACTTCCCAAACACACACAGGGAACAGCGTTCCCTAAGGAGCCCAAGGTGAGCGCTCCAGGCAGAGCTGCAGGGGACTTGCCAGGACACAGAAATCTCTACAACCAGAGCCCAATTCCTGCAGCTGGGCAGGGACACCTGCACATCCCGCTGCCTCTAATCACGGGCTGGCACTGGAGCAGAGATTCCAACATGTTGGGCTACCAGCTGAGTTCTTGCCAACCTAAAAGTTCAACGTAATTCCTCAGAAGCTACGGTTGGAAGTTGCTGCCTTCAGTGCAGGGACTTTTTCCTCAGCACTGCGCRGTAGCCACATACTGGCAGTGCCTGCCAGCACCTTGGCAAGAGCTGCGGCAGTTGCGGGCGCTTTGCAGGAGCGTTTCAGCGGCTCTGCTCAGCCAGGCAGTCCCGGAGCCCTGGCTGCCAGCAAATAAAATGGCATTTGGACTCAGTTCCTCTGTAGAAAGACCCAGGTACCCTCCTTCCTTAATCAGTAAATAAAAGGGGGATGCATAGAGAAAGCAGAACATCTCATGCAAGCCAAAGAAAATAATGGGAGAAATGTCGATTGCGGAGTGGTTTCCCAGTCATTTCCAGCACAGAAYGGTTATGTGCACAACTAGATTAGCCAAAGGGCTGTACTCCTGAGGCTCATCCCTGGTTCTTCCCTCACAATTACACTAGAGCCACAAAACTCATTAACGCTGGGGTTTCGAAGGCGGGAAAAATGCCAGCGTTTGGTCCCGCTGCTTAGCACCTGCTGAGAAAAGTTAAATCCTGCCCCAGTCAGATATTCACATCGGCTCCTGCAATCCCGGTCTAACATGATGGACCTCCTTGCAGYAAAGCAGCCTGTGAAAATGAGGGGCACCTGGGCACCTGCCTCCACCTGAACTGGTGTTTCCATTGAGCAGTTTGTTTCCTAGTTTGTAAAATGCACTTTGCTGGGAGTTTAGTATCAATCTAGGAAAACCACATGGAGACAGTTTCTTTCTCTTAATACAGCACTGTCAAGAATATGAAGAGTGATTTTGGTTTTTATGTTGTAGGAGAGAAAGAGATTAGAAGAACACCTGTGGGCTGTACAGTCCTAGGGTTCTGACTTTCCTTTGGAAAAGCAGTGTGAGCTTCTGAACTTGAAGTCATCCATGAAGCAATTCCCATCAAACTGGACTGTCTAACGCAATCACTTACTGCTTACTCAGGCACAAACTTGCACCTGCTTTTCTTGTAGTAATGAATTAAATGCTGTAAGAACACAGGTCTGTATTGAACCCCCATACTTTGTTTTTGATCATTTATATCAATCCATCTCAGYGGACGACTATTGAGAGAAATCTAAATTAGTAAGATTTGAGGAACTGATTTTGGGCTGTGCAGGAGTTTAAGAAGTTTAGATAAACTAAAAAGTTTATCTAAAGATAAGCTTTGACTTCAGGAGAGTCTCTTTGAATCTTTCCTGTGGAAGCCTTCCAGCTTGAACAAATAAGGACATATTAATTGAGTCAGATATAGATGGACAACCTATTTAGAGCCGAGGGCAAAGTATCCATTTGGGATGGCAGAGACTGGGATATAAATCTCTAATCTGGGTGCCCCATCCCTGAGAGTATTCATCCACCTGGGACCTRCTGATGCTCCTTTCTCGCTCAGACTGATGTGTTTTGGTCGCCTCTGTAGTTGGAGGAAACAGAGCACAAATCTCAACTCTTTCGTTTAATGGGACAACCATTTCCCACTCTGCTGCAACACACTATTTTACCCTTCTTTAACCAGGGTTGATCTGCCCAGGGTTAACTATGGAGCTAACAGCAAGAATGTTTGAATTGCACCTTAAAGAGCGGAAAGGCCAAACTGCAGAAGCAGAATCTGTGATTCAAACTGTTTATCAGCAATTAAAACGTCTTGCCGATAAATGATTCATGATTTGAAACATCTGATTACTCATTTTCATATCAAAAATTCCTATGTGCTTAATGAATGCCTTGTTTGTACATTTACTGGAACAGGCTGGAAAGTCTGAATATGTGAAATAATCAATCGTTTAAATACACAAAACAGGACCTGTTAAACATAAGATACTTTTCATTCATATTTTGTAGAACCATGGAAAAAATCAATATTGGCTTAATTTGACTGAWGCAAATCAGAATATAAACTGACTTCATTAGCAAATACAAACACTAACTTTTGCATTGCTGCAGACAGCAGATTAACATCAGTGTAACTGAGATTTAAACCCAGTCTGCTAAAATGAAACAGCCTTAGAAATAAAGCTTCTAGCTCATGATATACTCCAGTTCACAGTAACTTTGGGCTTTTGGTCAGCTATTACATGTAATCGCTTATGGTGTTCAAAAATGTATTTTTCCAAAAACATTCAGACCATAAACCAGATGACTCAGAATCCTGTAACAGAAGGTAAATTATTCTAAAATATTTTATATTTGTGCATAACACATGATTAGCCAAAGGAAAAAAAAAGAAAAAAAGAAAAAAAGCCTAAGTCCAAGAAGTAATTGGCAAAATACTGAAGGGAAAACTGAGAATCCTTAATTTTATATTATGGTGTAACCAGCTGTAAGGAATTACAGGTCTAAAGCACAGTGTGTAATTGTCCTACCCTAAACATTTACTAAAGCCTATAATTCAGAATGATCCTGGCAAGTGATGTCACCACTGGCAAGCCGCAGGAGTTTGGTGGGTTTTTGAGCATGAATTAACACAAACACAGGCACAGCCTGCAGCTGAAGCACTTGGGGATACTGTATTTCCTTTCCTTAATTTCAACTGCTTTGGCTTACAGAAATCAAAAAACAAAGCCTGCAATAAGTTCTGGACTGATCATATTAGCAAAAGAAAAAACCTAAACCAAACCGAACAAACAAAAATCACAAAACACCAAAACCTTATTTTAAAATTTTACAGCTAGCTGCATCAGTAGATATTATTTCTTAAATTCAGGGCAGAGCGCATGCTACCCAACGCGAGGATGGCCTCATGGAAAGAACTGCCTCGATTCGTATGCAAAAGCCCTAGCCGYAGCGTGAAGGAGCCGTGCTATGAGAGAGGGAAAAACGGCAAGAAAGTTATTAGATGAACCTTGCCGCGCTGGGAACCTCTGTGCCCCGAGGCCGCATTTTTTTGTTTTCTCTCTTCTTGCGCGGGGGTCTCAGCAGGTKCCGACCCGCAGGGGCTGCTCGGCCGCTCCGGCCCCGAGGTCCAGTCCAGTGGGTGTCAGGGCTAAGGAAGCGGCCGCTCCCCGGCCGAGGCCACCGCGTCCTGCGCTGCTCGCCAAGGGCTTCAGCGGCCTAGCGAGCGCGGGGGAGAAGACAACCTGCAAAAGCAAATGCGAGCAAAGGGCAGATTTTGGACCCAAGAAATAGTTATTTCTTCACTGCAAAAGACACTCGGATGCCCCTGCCAAGGGCGGTGCAGCCCGTGTGGGCACYGGGCACCCCCTGGCCCCACGTCTCTCCCCACCACCATCAGCCACACGTCTGCGCTCCGACAGCCTGGGGGGAAGAAGCTGGATGAGACCAARGGAATGATTATTTTTTAATTTATTTGTTTCTGAAGTGAATCACAACTTCTTGCTCCTCCTTCTCCCCTTCCTATGAAGACACAAGTACCTCCCGATCCATGGAACGTCTTTTTAAGCATCCAGAGTGCAAGTTTTGACTGCAGCTTCTAACACAGGCTCTACAGTGACGACTCTTTGTCAAAGAGATTCTTTACGCAGCTTCTTCAAGAGCAAAAGGAAAAATCCAACATACGAGTACAGATACACTTTTGGAATGTAAACATGTAGTGTACATAACTGAMACATTATCAAAAGTATTGTGCATTTATCAAAAAAATCAAACAAAACTTTTCACTCATTTCACATGGTCCCATCATAGATCTTAAGGATGACCCCACAGCCTATAAAGTAATTCCTCCGACTGTAATTTATAGGGGCACCTAACACTATGGATGCCAAAGGAGGAAGATTTAGGTTGACTCTTACCCATGCTGTGCTGATTTTCGCACAATTAACTCAAAATAATCTATAAAAGGTCTGTAAACAGTCCTGGTAGAGAGATTAAAATGAAATCACTAAATTTGGCCTGGTCAATGTTAATGCTTTCATTAACTCGGATACTTTATTTATCCCTGAGCACCTTAAGATTGTTCCCCCAAATCTCACTGAAGAACGTGTAACTATTTCACAAGGAGGGAAAACTGCATTTGGATAAACTTGTTTCTTACAAGTCCCCTTCTCCTTCACTGGTTTAAAAAAAAAAAAAAAAAAAAAACCCACCACACTGTTCCCACCCACCCTATTTTTTTCATATGTACTGCAATATCTTTTAAAAAAATCACCCCATCCAACAATGTCAGCTACAGACACACTACAGACTACAAAAATATTGCATAGGAGTGTCAGTGGGCATAGTCTCACAACATGAGAGAAAATGCTAAGTTCTCTTTAAAACATTATGGCAACATTCTAATTTATTTTCCTTTTAAAAATCAAGTGGTTTCACTTTATTTCAAAATTGTACAAAATGGCCATGGCTGTTTATAAAAAAAAGTCTCTGTCTTGAGAGTATGTGAAGTCTCAGGTGCAGTAACGATAGACCTGGAACCGTTCACAGTGCAGCGGAAAGCTTCCTTTGAGGCAGAAATTACAATTCATCCTTCTTCTTTCCTACTCTTTCATGGTCTTTTTCTCTAAGGGTTCGCATGAAAGTGATGAATCCAGATTCCTGTTTTTGAAGAAAGAAAAACATGGGTCATTTTTTTTTAGACATACATTACCAGAACGATAGGTCAAGAACACTTATAGCTTCTGTATGACAGGCATAAGGAAGCTGACAGACTATAAACTAGGGGACAGTTATTGTTTCTGCGTTGCCTTGTTGTGTGGTACTCTGGTCCACTGCAGCTCCACTGAAACAGAAGGGAAAAATATCCAGAGACTCCAAAATAAACCATTTTTCATGAGAAACTCTGCAGAGTTGAGGTACGCAGGTGAAGCAGTTCGCACAAGATGAGGTAAAATCTGGCTTTAGAAATGCCATCAATGACTTCTTGTTGAGAGAGCTCAAACATTTTCATGATGCATGTGTCACTTTAATAGTAGTATATCATTTGTTGACTGTACCCATATTTACAACTGTTCTTCAATCCTGTAATAAATAATTCTGCTTATCATATTATTCCTTCGTGCATTCACATGAATGGAATTGTACTTTTTTTCAAGTCAGTATCAAAACTACAGTCTAAAAATTTAATAAGTGGATACCTAGATGTTGCCCTCTGTATTTTGACAGCTTATGATTTTGCATCTTCAAAGCTGTTGAATGCCAGCAGTTCCTGTGGTCTGATTCCAAGGAAAACACTGAACACAGGGCAAGGATTCCCTCACAAGGACTTTAAAGGGCTCAAAGACGTAATGAYGTGGGCACTGGCTTTGAACATGCTGCTCCTTGGTACACAAACACTGTAGCTGTCTAACAACCTCACGCACTTGACATGTTTTTGCTGCTAAGCACTCCTGAAATACAACAATGAAAACTCCTCATAGGAAAGGAAACTATAAAGAGAACAAACAGAAGTAAAAGTTGGACCAAAAAAAAGAAAGAAAGAAACCCAACACACTACAATAATTATTGTTTAGCTGTTAAAAAGTAGGAGGCAAAGCTCCATGAAGACTTCTCTAAGTTCCTGAYTGCTGAACGATTTGTGAATTTGGCTTTTTTTCCCCTCTTTATGCTGCTCTATAATTTGGAAAGCTGCAATAGCAGCAGTGAGTTTCAGCCACGGCTCTTGTAGCAAATAATCACTGGATGGTTTGAAGACTCCACGTTTTCTACTGCAGCTTCTGGTCCCTCTAGGTGATCCATCACTGCTGCGAAGTAACATCCCTCCAAAAGACTAACACAAGGAATGCACACAAATAACTACATTTCTTCCTTACTCTCTGGCATTTTACAACCACAGAGGGTACCGTGCCATCTCTGCCCATGGAACTCAGAGTGTATCATTAGCTGGCCACAGGAGGATGAGAGGGAAATTTCAATCCATAAGCAAAGATGCCATGACTGGTCTTCCCACCCTGAGCTCCAGGAGCAAATCTGATTGAGTGAGGATGAACTATTCAGCGAATCTGATTGAGTGAGGATGAACTATTTAGCTTCACCAAGTCTTCAAAGGGCAGTTTTGGCCCTGCTATAAAACCAACCGTCTGTCACAGTTTGGCAGCCTGGTAGAACTATCAACACATTTGAGATATATAAGAGATCCACGACCCAGAATAGATGGGAGCAACCTAAACATTTTCTTGACTTTCTGCACCTAACAGCAGCTCATGCAGCAGATCTTTCATTTTCACTTGAACCACCATGTTCACTTGCAGGCTCCAGCTTAAAGTTTATAACAAAGCATTACTAAATTCACTCCTTTTTCTTCTCAGGTTCCCAAAACAGACCAAGTGTGTTCCTATCATGTAGATATATATGGGGTGTGGTACACAATGATTTATCCATATAACTTAGTAACAGAAGCAGTTAAACATCTCTTCAGCATGACAGAAACACATCCTATATCTTTCATTTGCARAGGCAAAGGAAGGAAGGCCTTCCTCCCTTTATCAGATGATGGCTCTTACTTTTACTTACCCCTCTCTCTCCAGTATATTTTTCCACAAATTTCCCATAGTTGTAATAGTTAAAGGTGGGGTAACCATCAACCCCCTCCTGCTTACACAGGTCATGGTTCTGTTCTTTGGCACAATCCACTGCAGCATAAGCGATCTGAAATGAAAAAAAATRCACGATAAGGCCTGTAGAAAACAAAGCAAAACTGTAATTTGTGGCAAAGCTTCTGCTGCAGCTTAGACCCAGGGCTAGAAGACACTCGTGTCTTCTGTAACCCCACAGCTGTGGAGGAAGATCAGGTGGTCATCATCAGGTCAAGCCAAACTACAGGAACATAAGGACAGAGTTAGCCTGTCAACAAACAGAGTTAGCCCAAACAAACAGAAAACAAAAAAAATAAATAAACCCCCAAAATTGTAATGACCCAGCTAATGTAACTTTCATCCTATGACATAACAAATGCCTGGACATGGAACCTCTTCTGTTTGTGGACATTCAGGGCTGATCACTCATGCAGGCTATTAACAGATTAATGATTTCTACCCCAAATAGCTTTAGTGAACTCCACTTGGTTTTCCCAAAGTCCAACAGGGATGAGTGAGGAGTGTTGTTCTCTGCATAGTGCAAGCAGGGAATTAGGTTTTTTGCTTGCAGTCCTAGCCTGGGCCTGTATCTTTCCTACCTTTTTTTTTTTTTTTTGTGTTCTTTGATGCAGGGACCACACATTATGTGCAGCCATTAGCAGAAAACGCTTCCAATTCCTTTGGAAACCTCTAGATGCTACTGTCACACAACCAAACGGTCGGCAGGAGCGGGGCTGCTCCTTGGCTGCGCGCGGCRGGACAGAGCGCGAGGAGGCCCAGCCCAGACTAACCCTGTTCACAGCATCTGACCTGGGAGACCCGAACCTGCTCGTTATGAAGAATGGGCTGCACTTAACATTTTTGGTGTTAAGGCAAAAGGCAGTTCATAGGTGTTTATTCATAGCAGTCTAGAAGTTTATGTACAAGCTACACAGAGGAACAACAAATTACAGGGGTGTGTTTTTTGCAATTGCAGAATCCTAGGTATCAAGCGCTAATTTCATAGYGGACATATCTTAACTTGGAAATTTCTAATTCCACGAGTCTCCTTTAAGCAAGCTGATCAAAATACCTTCTGCTCACACGGCTTTAGTGTTGCGGATGAACTGTTCTTCTGTAATTAAAAGATCACTTAATATTCTAGTGCCCTCCAGTTTCACGGTGACACCGTCAAAATGAGAAAACCTGATCTCATTATCCCAGCAGCAATTAAASAGGTTTGCAAAGCCAACTTCAGTTAATTTACTTGCTTTGTTTTGGCTTTGAAAGCCTAACAGGACAATGCTCAGTAAGATCTCACTTGGGCCTATCTTCAGATGGAAAGTACTCTATCAACTGTGCAATGTCCTTACCTTAAATATTTGCTTTCTGTTTTCCTGTTTTAAACATTACTACGTTTATTGCAGAAACAGGACTCTTGACAGCTACTAAAAATAAGTATGATCACATTATTATYTTTTTTTTKTTGTTGTTTTTCGGTTAAACAGAGAAACTTCTACTTATTCAGGGTCAGTAAAAAAGAAAGGTTAAGAATAATATAGAGCAAAAAGGGTTCATCCAAGTATTTATGCCTTCCTGACCTTAGCAGCAAGCCAAAATTTAGAGCCCTGAAGGTTATTTCTGTATATAGGAAAACTTGCAAGGCAGATTAACAGTTTTTGATGTCACAGGGTTAATTTACAGAGAACCCTGGAAGTCCTGGTTCTCTGAAAACAAGAATAAATAGAACTGTTTTTCTCAAGACTCTAAATATCACAAGGGAGCGATTATGGCCAGGACAAGAGGAAGGTATGTGTGTGCTCATCTGGACTGATGGTAGCTGGTCTGAGGCGCAAAACCGTCATGACCGATGACCTATCTGCCCTTAGATAATGCCGGGCAGATTGGGAACACACGTTATTAGGAGGCTGGAAGGAGGAGAAGCCTCTTTGTGTCTCTGTGGTAACATCAAGGCTGCCCTTGGTGGGACCAAACAGTCCAGCTCCGTTTATATAGAGRCTTTTGTGACAAGGCTCCCCAGCGAGGCCTGGGAGAGGGCACAGCGGAGGAAGGCCACGCTGTCAGCCTCTGCCCGCCCTCTTCTGCATGTAGTCGCTGTCTCAAAGCAGGTGAGTGAGTGATGGTGGCTTCCGAACGAGATGCTCACAGCCGGCTGACTGAGGCACAGCTCTTCTGCAGCACATGGAAACCTAAGCTGCTAAATCTGCTTTGCCGGGCAGCACAACAGCACACAGGGAAGACAAATCCACCTTAGGAGCCACACGAGCCTACGGCTACATCTGCCTTGCAGGCCCAACAGTGACGGGTACAGTGGGTGCATCCAAGACCCAGCGTCGTGACTGATGTTCCCCTGGTTTGCCGTGGTCTGCTTGCCACATTCCTGAGGCGAGCTCCTGCACAGCCCCACGGACTCGCTGCTGCTCCTGCAAATGTCATCTGGAGCCCTGCTCGGCACAACATTCACATTCGGTTATTTTTACAGCTGCTGAGAGAAGAGAAATGGCAATTTTCAAAAAACTTGTGACTTGTGCAGACCTGAAAAAATATTTCAAGGAGATATCTAAATCCCATGACTGTATCCTAAGGCTGGATTTCAAATGCCTGCTGCCAAGAGGAGGACAGTAAAAGTACTTTGGAGACCTGCAGAATTATTTTAGAGGGGAATGTTAAGACAGCCTAAATATAGAGGTTGCCACTGTCTCCGTGCACTCATTATCATAGCAGCAATTCTAATTGCCTTGCCCATCTCACAGCCAAAGACCAAATACAGTACATTACCAAAAAACAATACTGTGGAAAAACTCAATCTAGAAATGTGCTTTGTTGCGAGAAGTGGCCAATTTAAATCTCAATTCCATCAGTTTTAGACAACTGAACTCCAAGACGTGCAAGAATTTCAGCAAACAGAACTGATGCCCTTTGCTTCATTCTGATTAATATCCACAGTCCATGACAACACAAACTCCACTTTTGATAAAGAAGTTTCCTACAATAGTTTCGGCTTGGGTGAATCACTTTTTGACTACACTGATATATATATCTATCTATATATACAATGCATATGAAAAGAAACAGCCCACTGATCCCCAAAATGTCTGTCTTCGAGACCTTTCCTAAGTGAGCAGTGATTGCAGGGACACTTCTCTCACTCTCAATCTTCTKATCAGTAGCTATTTTTTCCTGTGTCACTAAAGAAGAAAACTGAGTCAGGAAAACTACTTCCCCGCCACAAAACCTCTGTCACAATTTGGTTAATGACTTCTGGAAAATATTATCCTCCAAAGTTATGTTTAAATCTAATCATCAGCAACAGGTTGCATGGATGTTCACTGGCAAGAGAGGCCAGCAAGAACTATAGTGCCACCTTGCAAAATCAACTATATTTTAAGGAAAACTTTCACATAGATTAAGCATAAAACATCCATGGAAATGCTTCCAGCAGCCAAGAAACTCTGCATCACCTATCAAGAATTACATATAAATTTATCCTCATCAACAACAACAACAAAACCCTACAAATCTGTCACAGCATGAAATGACAGATGACTGACACTGATTCTTATGTACATATTTACTCATTATGAAAAAATATTTTAAAACCCCAACAAAAAACCMCTTTTTTGAAGAAGAGTTTGCATTTTGAGTCACCTTTGATTATCAGGGCTAACGTTTAATTTCTTGAGCCTTGTTAACTTTCCTGCAGCTGGAGGGACAATCAACCAAGAAAATATTTTGGAATACAGCAAAAGCAAAAGAAATGAACAAAAGCCCCTCAAACCCCAAGTGCTATTTCTGCAATACTCATAAAACTCCACAGGGTTACGGAGAATCCAAAGTTGCACTGCTGCCATAACATTGACAATGCATCAAAATTCCTTTTTTTTTCCTTCTCCCAGAGGCTCTGCTTATGACCACCTTAGCCAATAACTGCAGTAACAAGAAAAATAGCTATCAAATGCAAAGCCAATCAGCTGGAAGACTCTGGACCCCAGAGGAAAATCCTTGGAGTGCATCCAGCCCTCTTGATGTTACCAGTAGCATCACACAACTGCTATGTGGCTTTACCTGGGGGATTTTACTACGAGGCCAGGTYGGCATGCATTTCTATAGGCAGTGCTGTCTGTGTATTTCATAGATAGCAAAGTTCAACATGACTTTACCAACATCTGGGATTGGAAAATATGTTTATTTTAAAAGGAAAGTCATGTAGCAGTGTTATAGCTTTACCAGAATAGCAGGAGCTTGACTGTAGCGTTGCCAACTTAACTCTGCACCACTTTAGGACGTGACTGATGTACGACCAGCTCCAAAGGGCTCTTAAAGAAGAACTAGAGCACGGCATATTGTTTAGATGAAGTGGTCTGAATTTCAAGAATGCCAAGCTGCTGCAAAAATCAGAAGTTTTCATTTAGGGGCTTAAATAAAAGTGGTGCTCTCCTGTAAGTGTGACCATTGATCTTGGTGTGCCACAACTGTAACAGAAAGACGATACCTTATTTTTTCCAGGGGGAAAAAAAAAAAGAAAAAAGTATTTGCAGCAGCATCTAATCATACACCAGGCATCACAGTTGCAGCAAAACTACAAAACAGCTCTCCGTTCTACAGGGATCCTGCAGGTAAAGAACACAATTACATCTAGCAGTTCAAACGGATGTGTAGAAAATTGAAASTGGGATCCTTTGACCTCTCAGGTAACTCCCCATTTCTGATTCTTAAATCCGTCTCATTTTTAACTGTTTCCCAATCACCACATGATGATACAGTAAAAATACCTCATGCAATCCTAGTTGCTCCCCTGTTAAAATATGTGCCACCACACACTACTTTATTGATTCAAGGAAATAAATCTCTCATGAAGCTAATATTGACTTTTGTTACGAAAATGGAAGTGAATAACTAAATATTGATTCAGAATGAAAGGAATGATACACGATAAGATCAAAAAAATTAAAACAAAAGTAAATCCTCAGCATGGAAATGAACGATACCAAGCAGTAGTTTTAGAGCACAGTCAATTCCAGATGACAGAGGCTGTTGTTGCCAAATGTCTTAAAAGCATCTATGAATAAGACAGATGCACACTCTTTTCTATGATTACTCTGCAGGGTTCTATTTATATTACCTGTTATGGATCCTAACAGCAGTTACGAGCCAGCCTGGTAAGGCTTGTTGTGATTCAGTTCCTGTTTTCAATGTGAATGGCCTTGCAAACGCACGATTCATTATTAGATGCCCTGGCGTACACCAGCAGCATTACCATAGCTGCAATTCATCAGCTGTTCTCAAAGTAGCTCTATTTGCAAAGGGAAGATCCATTAGTAGCCACCACAATGTACAGTACTAACGTTAYCATACTTAATGAGTCCAATTAAAAAGAAATTCAACACATGCTTTTTAAGCAAATACAGTTCAAATTCTCGGCCAAATTCAAATACTGACTCATTTAGATGATGCTGTAGAGTGATTTGGTTGGTAATTGTAACTGCAAACCATGCTTCAAACCTGAAAATGTCTGCAAAACTGGTGCTCCATGTGCACTGAGCACCTACCCGATTCATCACCGAATTGCAGCTCCTCTCTAGCAAACCAGCTCACCCAGTAAGTTGTGCTCTTCCCAACAACACTAACTGGTTCTGTACAAACTCACTGTATCCCAGTGTAGTGCTTTGATTTAGATCAGTGCTTATATGCGTGAAGAGCCTGGAAAAGGCTGGTCAAGCAGCAGCCCCTTCTAGGGAATTCTGGAGATTTGTTAACAAGGGGCCTTGAAGAGTCAACAGCTTTGCTTCTCCGAATCCAAGCTGGAGCATCACAAATCAACTCCTTGAAGATGAACTTCAGGATCCGCCAAAAGGCAGGATGCAGCTTTTTGGAGATTCAGCTGGTGCCCTTTGGAAAGGCTCTGGAGCAGGGAGCGAACATGCCTTCAGGCTCTTCAATCTGTTCAGCAGCGACAAGCCTCCCATTTTCATTTTCTGGAGCACGCGGGTCACTGCCAAGACGCTAGCTGGGAAGCACAGGCCAAAGGTTTTTCCCCAGCAGCTGTAGGCAAAGGCCACAGCTCCCCAAGGCCAGAATGCTCCAGATGCCTGTTGTGGTTGTTGTTAAGTAAGTGGAAGTGCCATGCTAACTGTTTCACTGCATTAGCCCCTTCAGCATCCACCAGAGCAGGTCAGTGAATTCCTCAGGGAATTCTCCTGGGAACGTTCAGGGAAACGTGCGGAGCCGTTTCATTGCAGAGCCCTCTCTGGATGCTGCCCCAGGCAGCTGTCCTGGGAGAGCACACAGCTCTGCACAAACCACCAGCAGGGATGTGGCCAAAAGAGCTGACACTGGGCGCCARTGCTTTGAGTGCTGCATTTTTAAACTCTGACTCCAACAGTGAAGATGATGGGAAAAGTTCTCAGTGTCACACACATCCCTACGGGAGCGTGGGGTGGGGGAGAAATTTGGAGCCAGATTCGCCCTGTTGCTGTGAATTTTCAGAGCCAAAGACACATTTTAACAGCTGTAAGTTCTGCTCATCTTCAAAATTCCTATGTAAAGACTCGAAGTTTCCAAAAGGTTGCCTTGTAAGATGTCATTTATAAACATCAAGAGCTGGAATATTTTAGATTTTTCTTTGGCTTCTGCAGAATTAAATGTTTAATTGAAGCACCATCTCTAGTGAAGAGAAGAGGCTATTTAAATGCTATCAGACTCTGTTAAATTAAAAAATTTTCCCCMAAAAAGAATAAAAGCCAGTATTATGGACTAAAAATTAAAATTAGCATTGTTTCTGGGTTCTTGAAAGAAGAAATACTTCTCTCTTCTTCAAGCAGCAATTTTGCAGATGTCTGAAATCCTACAGGACTTAACCAAAGTTTTAAGGCTCTAGTCAATTTGAAGCATAGGAATACACCCAGTGCTGTTTGTGGGAACAGACATGTGCCCTTCTGAGCTTTAAATCAGTTTCTTTTCTTTTCCACGTGGACACAAACTGGCAGGAAGAAACACTCAGGCAGGTTATGGTCAAACAATTAAATAAGGTTCCTTCAATAATCAGTCCCTGGCACTTTCATAAGTCACCGGGGTGGAATAACATCGTTTTCCCTAACTGCACACACTTTTTGAAACTATACCAGCCTTTATATGCCCTGCTGACTCTCCTGTTCCAACTCATTACATTTTATACCTCCCCACTTCAGCCTTAAGCTGAAATCAAGAGTTGCAGCCGTCAATCACAGTGCTGCTCTTTGAGTCCCTTCATAACCTTCTGCAGTCTGAACAGAAAGCTTTACAAGGCAGCATGATGTTCAATAAACTGCATTATGATTCAGATTGGCTGTTAATACATCCTGGRGGCTCTAATAAGCAAGTCACATATCGTTTGGTACGTTTGCTACCTCTCCTCTGAGTGAAATTTTAATGASTTTAGGAAAGAGAGGCTTCACTTAGAACTAAGAGGAAAGTGGGAGAAAAGGATGCTTCAAAATGAGTTACCAAAAGGTATCTGAATCTGAACACATAAATTTTTAGCAAGCAGTAAGAAAACCGACAGCTGTGAGGCACTAAATCTTCCATGTGTGACCTGTGCCAGGCGACATCACTTGATGGACTCCTAACTTCATGCATTCAGTGATACAAGAATGATTTGTCTCTTGACAATCCTATGCATCTTGTATGAGTTGCAAAAAAGACAGGGGAAAAGGAAAAGAAAAAAAAAACAAAAAAAAACCCTAAAACCTACCCAAACAAAAAGACACCACTTTTATTCTCTCCTCTTATGGTAGCAAACAGATTAACACATAGCTGTTTCAAAGTTAGCCCTTAATTTTCTTATTAAATCTACAAATCTTTTCCATGCCACATCTGAAAACAAGGCATTCATGAAGTCAAAACAAATGCTGAGATCAGAATGCAACTGTTCAGCCAAAGATAATAAGCAGGTTTCTAACAAGGTACCTGGTGAGATCCAGTGACTCAGGTGATTCAAACAAAGCACATGCTTCAATGCTTTAATGGAAGGCTCTTTTTGGCCATTTTTTCTCATCATTTCACTGAGTGAGACAAGGCGGAGAATTTAAAAATATCTCAAGAATACCACAAGAATGGACCAAAACATAGTCGGGATTTTTTTTTTTTTGATTACATATTTCATATAAACTCAACCTGAAATACTTAAAATACTTCACTGGAGAAATATTCCCCAGGAGAACAGTTCTCAAGTGTACAGCCATATAACTGTGTATGTACAGCCATACAACTGAGCAAACTACTATGAATTGCTGAGTTGCCATAACTGTGCAAATCCTTTTAGTCTGGGACAAGCACATGGCACCAGGCAACGTGTCAGGTGTAAAATAACGTGTTTTCTYTAATCCCAGATATGCACACACTCCGTTCAAATAGCTCAGCTGAGGCAAGGGAATTAATCTGTGTGTTTCAGCCACCAGATGTGTTATCAAGGCAGAAGCATGAGGGACCTAGAAGGGCACAGCATCTCAGGCAACTTACATAAGTGGATTGTATTTATACAAGCAGAGATTAGTTATATGAATAAGGTCTTCTGGAAATGTCACACAGCTTACAGTTTCTACATATGCACCCAATTACAATTAGCAAAACCTGGTAGAAGAATGGAAAATGCAAATTATCAGTTTTCATTGAAAAGTTATTAGAAGTGTTTTTCTTCATAGAAAAAGATTTTCACAAAGAATTAAATGGAAAAGACAACAAATGAAATAGTTATACTTTTAACCCATTCTCTAAGTCCAACCACAAGAGACATAGTCCCTGAATACAGAAACACCTCTATTAGTTTAACAACAACGTTAAACTAAACTACAAGCCCACAGCTTTATCAGTGAGCCAAGCCTGCAAAGCACAAACAGTGGAGGAAGTTCCCAAGCATCTCAGAAGTGATTAAGAGCAAGTTACCTTTCGATCTTCTTTAAAGACTTCAGCAGCAGTTGTAAAGTGCGGAATGGCATTTTTACAGTGTGGGCACCCTGTTTGGCACAAGAAGAAAAAAAACAACAGCATTAACATTTGTGATTTAAGATACTGGGACCAACTCAAGACACACAGCGAGTTAGTGGAAAATTGGTCCTGAAAAGAATTCTAGGGAAATGGGTTCCCTCATTCCGGGAAGAGCAGGACAAGGCATCTGCAGACCATCTGTCAGCTGTATGTACTTAAGCATGTGCTTAAAATATACCTGACTTCAAGCAGTTTAAGTGTGTTYTTGCAACTCAGCAGAGTCCCACAGGGGCAGCATGGTGCAAATGCCTTTTCTCTATCTCCAGTCACATAAGAGCACTAAAGATCACCAGCCACAAGCAGACAAACCATTTCCATGCCGTTGGTACCTCCTCGGGGGTATTACCACATAAGTTCTTACCACTGCTGTCACACATACAACAACATCTGGAAACAGCAATAAAGACAGGGCAGTTGTGAGCAGGAGGAGAGGGAGTCCACAATAAATCATAAAGGAAGTTACTGGAAGACAGTATTAAACACCAAGATGAAGGCTAAGAAGTGCTTAAAAATCGCTGGTTTTAGAGCCATTGGGATCACAGAGGAGGAGGAGAGCAAGTCCAACAGGCAACACATCTTTCACAYAGAGGAGAGGATAGAGATGCAGTCTTAGGCTAGGACTCTCTAGTCCCTTTCAAAACATATCAGCAGGGTTTGAAGGGCCTGGCAAGCCCAGAAGAGCAGCTCTGCATTGAAGCCTGGCCTAGACCTGCTTGTGCCACAGTGGTCTTTGCAAAAGGCAGGGCTGATCCTTGCCTGCTTTAACATATACTGAATTTATTCACACGTTTTAGAAGAAGTCATCCAAAGGAAACAAGCTGCTCTCTTGATTTGAGATCCAGATTTGAACATCCGTAATTCAGAAGAATTAATTGAGCTCATTGTCTATGATTAATATCAACTACTCTTGCAACGCCCTGTGGTAAGTAAGGTTTTGAAAAGGGAAGCACCTACTTATTTATAACAAATCATTCTTTTAAATTTCTTAGCGTAAAAAGATTGAACCCAAACAAACTATTTAGAATATATTTATTTTTTTCCTCTTAAACTTAGATGCAGGGGGTTTGTGGGAGAACAGACAAACCGCTCAAATCTGTATAAATTGAAGAAGGCACAGAAGTTCATCTTGCTATTATTTTGAACAAGAACAAAACAATGCACAGGCTGCTCACAAGCTCCAATTATAGCTTATGTTACTGCAGCTCATCATTGTAAAATACTGGCAAACAAGTGGCCATATTATTTTTAAGTCAGCGCAGAACAGAACAACCTCTTAGGAGGCTTAAAGCCCCTGTCTCATAAAATGCACCATCTTTTAGGTGACAAGAAAAATGGTTACCTTGGCATAAGTGCCACATACTCCTTTTCACAAAGGATAAGATGCACATCCTTTTCATTATGGATGGAATGCAATTGCTTAGAAGCACTGCTTGGAATTTTAGAATATTTTTTCTTCAGGGTGGGATTTTACAAGCAGTACAATAAATAAATCCCACTGAAAGTCCAAAGGACAGATCTAAGAAACTGAGGTCCTTCCATAAAGCCACCTTTAACATCCTCGCACACTCCATGCAGCCTCTCCTCCCAAGGCACCAGCATTTCAGTGGGCGATCGTGCATGTCCTCTGCAGCTTGCAAACTACTAACTTTGTTGAGCACTTTGGCATTTGTCAGAGAGACAATGGTCAAGAAGGGAGAGGAGGAGGAGGTGGTTAGTGCTTGAGGCTACTGGGCGCCGTTCCCATGTCCATCAACACATTTTGGTGACCTGTTTTCTCTCCCACTATTTGCCTGCCTATCCGCCTGAACAGAAGAGCCTCTGGGTCAGGGTTGACTCTTGACACAATCTGTATCATATCCTGTAGTGTGGGGTGACAGCCTCGGTTGACCTGTTAATATTACTCTAAAAAAAAAAAAAAAAAAAATCAGAATTCAGTACTTCCGGTTACAATACCAAAAAACAAAGACAAAATATGTGGAAAAATTAGGCACTCTTAAAACTGTAACACTTCTCCTAGTTCATGAGCTTAAACATTGCAGTTTAGAGGAAGGCACATCCAGCTGCTACACAAAAATGCAAAGGCTTCAACCTTGCAGAGCTCTCTTTCTACTCGTGATCCTGAGCTGCAGATTTATATTCCAACCAAATAGCAGCTCTCCAACCCTCAGTAAAATATACTGCAAGGGAAATACAAGGCTTCAGGTCTTTCCATTCCTCTCTCACACCCCAAAACCTTTACAACACATTGCGGTCAGCAAGTTTCCCAGTCTCTTGTGTGCTAGATTTGTAGAAGACAGAGCGTTTGGTAAATTCTCACTCTAAGTTTCCAGTGAAGTTGTAGGAGGTTAGAGTTCCTCCTGCTCTCAAGATGACCCAAATGTCAACAGGAAGCATGTTCTTCSAGACCCAGAAAAGTCCAACTGCTATTAAAAATGCAAGCAGGGATTTTACACTGGCCAACAGATGGTCATTAAGAAAACTGCCAGAGTTTTGGCGGGTAACTTCAGAGGAGTGCCAGCAGCCGTTCCATGTCCCTTCCATCCCACCAAGCGAACACTGTTGCACAGTGTTCAGTAGGTGGCATCAGAAGGGCTTTGAGCGATGTTCTCAGCACTGATGTGCATCAATTAAGGTCAAAAGGAATCATAAAATTATCTAAATKGTGATAATGTTTGGAAAAAACACAGAGCAAACCCAAATATACTCTGAGGTTGTGGGCAACAGCACTACACAGAGGTGAGGGCCACGAACTTCAGGACACCTAATAAAGAGATCTCTGTTCACAGCTTTACTTCTGCTTCTCTGATCTCCTCATCTTCCCATTCAAATACCAAACTCCAAAAATTACCTTCATTTACTGATCTGAAACTCCATCCCTCCTCCCTTCACTTCTCATTTGGCCCACCATCTTTTCTTTACTGCACTGTAGTTGCAAAACCAAAACACAACCATATGGCTTTTGGCAGAGCTAACTCCAAGTCCAGTAGGCATTTTGCTAGCCTTGGACATCTATCCGCCAAGCAGATGTGAATCCTGTGCTGTATTCCCAARGAGCTTCAAGGAGTCACCAAAAAAAAGAGGAAAGGAGCATATCATATGGAATAGCAGAACTTCATCTGTTACAACTTAAAATGCTTGCCAAATGCAGAAAACACTTGGAAGTCACCCAATTCAGTCATTTTATTTAAAGCACACACGCAAAAAAAAAAAAAAAAAAAAAAAGTAAAAGCAGAGGTTGATGTCTTCATTTTGACAGACGGAAAACTTGTTCTTCCCCTTCCCTTTTCACACCCCCTATCGCACATTTATTTTAAGTGTTAACACTATTCTCAAGATTTGAATGTGAAAAGAAAGGAAATAAACAGTGCCTGGTGGATGAAGAGATGAAAAGGTACATGAAGAGTGCAAAGCGTGCACACTTCTCAAAAAGCTTTGCCAGGTAGGCTGCAGTGGAAAGTGATTAAACCGGAGGTACCTGAAGGTGCAGGTGAGGTATCAAGGGTCAAAGGTTCTACCCTTTTGTTGGCAGTATGCTTAGGATATTGAATCACTGCAGATTAAGGACGTGGGAAGATGCATCCCACTTCACTGCAGCTGGATAACTGGGTTGCTGAGGTAGAAGCACACGCTGCCTCCGAGGCCAAGAGGAGGACTTCAACCCAGCAGCTTCAGAAGCAGTACTGACTCATCTGGGAGCAGAGCCCTCCAACCCAGGCGCTAGTGCTCTGCGTTACCAATTGCTCTTCCTTTTTAGATCACTGTCAGATTTGATCTCATCAGGGTTAACAGCAGATGTGAACTGAACAGTAATTTCCTGTGCCTGACTTAAGAAAGCTGAAAGAAATCTGTTCTTGGAACACCCAGTCTTCCCACAGGATCCCAACCCTGCCTCTCAAAACCTCTAACCACTCTTCAATGTCTGGAGCTCCCCTCATTTCCTCGCGCTAACTGCGGTTCCTCAGGCAGGAGCACTTGTAGCACCTGGCAGGAGGACAAGAGGGCCCTGCTCGAAGCCTCCTGCACATGCAGCAGCACATGTTAAGGTTACTCTCCGTTCCTGATGTGTGCACAATACAGCTTTATTTCAGCTCTGGCCYGATGTTCTCAGCTGTCCCTGTGCTCCAAGCTTTGCGCTCGAGGCCCTCTCGTTCGGCCTTCAGCGCAGACATGACAGTATCTGCTCTCTCCACCCCTGGAGACTTCCACAGGACGGACCTGTTTAAGCTACAGGTCCATAGATCCACATGAGAACATCTGCAGTAGAGAGAATTCTACGCTTTACTTTGTATTACAAAACTAAAATTCTACTGCAAGTGTTTTCTACAGCTTTTATCCATCATCCACCCTGTAACTGTGGTGGGGCTCACTGCAATAATATGGCAGGAGAGTCACATTTAATGACCTTGAAAACTAAGTAGTTCTGGACTTCATACATGAAAAATACAGTTGCTGTGGGTAAAAATTTGAGGAATGGGTGCTGAGCAGCAGAGAGGGAAATGGAGCAAGCAGCCAGGCTTCACGCACTGTCACTGCGGGCTGCAGTCAGGCTYAATCTCTGCTAACCAGAGAGGCATTTAAAGCAGGCCAGTGTTTTGCTGGGATGATGGAAAATACATGACCTGGCTTAGTTTGTGTGGACTGAAGTTACCGACAGCAGGAACAGCCAACAACTGCATCTTATGGCATCTCCTCATGGCTTTTTAAGAGAGGATGCAATGAACAGAATTTGACTGGAACACAGAGAAGCGTCGGAAGAGGCTGGCATAAAAGCAGGATACATCTTCACTGAACCACACTGAGGACACCGAGAAATACCAAATGTCAGGCTAGGAGCAAACTGCAGCGTAGAGCTGGATGAGGTTTCCAAAAACAATGCCAAAAAGGATTTGTGCAGGGGATGTTAAAGCAAAGCTAATATACATAAAAATAGAAAACTTTATTAAAGTACTAATATCATCCTGCAAACTAA